AATATGTGGACTAGAGTTTCTAATAATTTCATTCTTGACAATTAGTAATTTAGTACCACATTTGATTATAATTATCTTTTTCCAAATCCAAAATAAGATACTCCGTCAAATCATTCTTCCTAAAATCATTTCGGAATTTCGCATTTCTCTCTGAACCAAATGCAATTTGCCATTTCTCTATCGCTCAAAAATTTTAGCACTAGAGAGACGACTAATGAAGATTATCCCATAAGAGAGAAAAAGGAGGAGAGAGCAGAGTTTGAAAATTATATTTATCTTTTATGCGCACTTTAGTCAAATCAATTTAAAATGATTTTGTTTAATATCTTGAATGTCAATTTTTTGATTGCTACTGTAGATATGAAAGGATTTGGACAGCCCTTCTGCCGTTTTTCAAGGGATGATTTTAGACCTTAATGCCTACTAATGACGTCCATTTCGTCATCATCTCTACCCAAAATGTCATATACTAAACGCTTAAAAGGGTTAATTTCCAGGGCTAAATCACAAGCATCAGTCCCTCTCTTCATGAGGAAGCGCAAGGAAGATTTGCAGGAAAAGGAGTCGCATCCAATAAAACGAAATCATGGCGAAGCAATTGAATCTGTAAGTCTCCAACGAAAATGCACGAACTGATCAAACTAAAAAGAAAAGCTGTTCAATTTTTTTGGAGGGGCTACGTAAATCTGTTCGAATACATAACACCAGATCCAAAGCAGCATCGTCCGCGCATATACCGAGCTAAGAACAACAAGCTCGAATTTCCCTCGTTTCCAATAGCACGCCCAAATCCTCAATTTTTTTTCCATCGAGCGAAAGGGAGGTGAGAGAATCTCGCTTTCGGCAACCCTCTCCCTCTCCAAAACAAACCCTCCCTCGAAGAAACTTCACCCACAAGCTTGCAGCTTCAATTTCTGAAGCTGAGAGCTTGCTTTGCTCCGCTTTTCTTTTCTAGGCCTTGATTTCCTGATTTCTCTCTCCCGATCTAAGCTGGGAGTATTTTTCTGCCTCGTTTGGTGTCTTCTTTCACTCGTTGTTGTTGCTTTTCTTCGCTCGTCGTGGTGAATAAATCTGCTTGCAGCTGAAAATTGTGTGAGAATGTTGTCACCAGTTCAGCCAGCAGGATACCGAGGACATGATTCTATGACTTCTCTGAGATTTGGCGAGAGCCCTCCTCCCCCAAATCTAGCTATAGATCTAAATTTGTAAGCTTTTATCTTTCGATCCAAATCTAGATATGTGAGTTTTTTAGAGGTGTTTGATTTATGGTGGTTCAACATGTTGTTATTGCCGTCTCCATATGGTGATGGTATTGAGGACGCCGAATTTAAGTGGACACTACAAGCTGTAGTTTTTGGAGGAGAAGATCTTGGCGCATATTGTTTTTTCATTCTGTGACAGATGTGGTCTATACTTATAGCTGCAAGCAATACTATTTTGTTTTCTAATTTTCGTTTTTTTTTTGTAGCTCTTTTGGGATTTTTCCTCGCAAAATCTAGTGAGGCCAGCCCTTGCCCAGGCTAGGGAGGCCTCGTTGTGCGTCGCTTGGGCAAAGGCGATGCCTGGCAAGGTTGCCCTAGCCTAGGCAAGGGTCGGCCTCGCCAAATCCGACCTGCGAGGCCTATCCTCGCCTGTGGCAACGACGGCGACCATCGCCCAAGCGAGGCCAACCCACCAGAACATCGCCTGTGGTTGATGGCCGGTCACCGGCATTTATAAACTTGCTTCAAATATATGCTCGGTTCACTTTCTTCAAAACAAGACAGAATCGTCGTTGCCCATCCTCAAATCATCCTTATTTCTTGTGGTGTTCGACAGGTCAGATGGGGGAAAATTACCAAAAAAGTCCTAAACCTTTTGTAATTGTGCCAATTCAGTCCTAAACTTTTTTTTTTTTGCCAATTCAGTCCTAAACCTTTTGCAATTGTGCCAATTCAGTCCATCCGGCCACTTTTGGCCGGCCGGCGCTGACGTGGCCGCCGGCCGGCTGACGTGGCACCGGCCGGCGTCCACGTGGCAATTTTTAATAATTTTTTTATTATTTTTCGAATTTTTTTTTTCTCTTTCTTTTTTTTTTTCGCCTATCTTCTTTCCCGGTCGCCGGTCTGGCGACCGGCGAGAGGCTGAGGCCGGCGAGGTGGATGAGCGAGGATGGCCCTCACCGGCACTGGCGAGGGCCAGCCTCGCCGTCGCCGGGCGAGGTCGACCTCGCCAGATCTGGGCGAGGCCTCGCCCGGCGACGGCGAGGCCGACCTCCCCATGACCGGGCGAGGCCTCACCGGCGACGGCGAGGCCGCCCAGATCTGGCGAGACCTCGCCGGATCTCGGGCGAGGCCTCGCCCGGCGACGGTGAGGCCGCCCCAGATCTCGGCGAGACCTCGCCGTCCCGCCGGCCGCCTCGCTGTCGCCGGCGAGGCCTCGCCTGATCTGTGGGCGGCCTCGCCGTCGTCGGGCGAGGTCGGCATCGCCATGGCCGGGCGAGGTCGACCTCGCCAGGCGACGACGAGGTCTCGCCCAGATATGGCGAGGCCTCGCTAGTGTCGGCGAGGGCCAGCCTTCACTACAAAAAAAACTGGATTTTTGCCACGAAAATTTGCGACGAAAAAATTTTCGTTGCAAATTTGCGACAAATTTTCCAACGAAAAGTAAAATTCGTTGGAAATTTCCAACGAAAAATTTTTCGACGCAAATTTCGTTGGAAATTTCCAACGAAACAATTTTCGTCGCAAAATTCGTTGGAAATTTCCAACAAAAAAATTCGTTGGAAATTTTCAACGAATTTTGCGACGAATTCAAAATAACCCGTTATTGTTCGGCATTTTTATATTTGTTGGAAAATTGTTGGAAATTTCCAACGAATTTTCCAACGAATTTCAATTTTCCGGGCAATTATTTCAGTGCGTACAATTTTCGTTGGAAAATTCGTTGGAAATTTCCAACAAATTTTCCAACGAATTACAAAAAAACCCATTACTGTTCGGCATTTTTGATATTCGTTGGAAATTTCCAACGAATTTTCCAACGAATTTCAATTTTCCGGACAATTATTTCAGTGTATACAATTTTCATTGGAAAATTCGTTGGAAATTTCCAACGAATTTTTTTTCGTTGGAAATTTCCAACTAATTTTTTTCGTTGGAAATTTCCAACGAATTACAAAAACCCGTTACTATTCGGCATTTTTATATTCGTTGGAAAATTCGTTGGAAATTTCAACGAATTTTCCAACAATTTCAATTTTCCGGACAATTATTTCAGTGTTTACAATTTTCGTTGGAAAATTCGTTGGAAATTTCCAACGAATTTTTTTTCGTTGGAAATTTCCAACGAATTACAAAAAAAACCCAATAATGTTCGGCATTTTTTATATACGTTGGAAAATTCGTTGGAAATTTCCAACGAATTTTCCAACGAATTTTAATTTTCCGGGCAATTATTTTAATGTGTACAATTTTCGTTGCAAAATTCGTGAGAAATTTCCCACGAATTTTGCAACGAAAACCCTACTTCTTCCTTATTCAATATTTTCGCGCTCGTTATTCCCGCAACTTTCAATTTCCACGTTCTCTCTCTCTCTCCTTCGCCTTCACCTTCTCCCTGCGTCTCCCCCTCCGCCGCCCCCTCCGCCTCCTCCCCCGCCGCCCCCCCTCCTCCTCCGGCTCCGGCTCCGGCTCCGGCTCCGGCGCCATGGACACCTAGCCTACAAGCCTCCGATGCCCCCGACGCCCCCGACGCCACCAAGCCTCGTCGCCGGCGAGGCTAGGAGACGACGACGGACTTGACGGGCGGCGGCCCGGCTCGCTCACGCCCCTGCCGCCGCCGTGCTTCTTCTTCATCTTCGGCCATGGCGAGGCCGAGCTCGCCATGGCCGGCGAGCTCGCCCTCGCCGGCGGCAGCTCGAGCTCGCCCGGATCCGGGCGAGCTCGAGCTCGTCGCCGGCGAGGGCCGAGCTTGCCCAGATCTCGGGCGAGCTCGGCCTCGCCGACGACAAGGCTTGCCCTCGCCGGCCATGGCGAGGGCCGAGCTCGAGCTCGCCCAGATCTGGGCAAGCTCCGCCCTCGCCGGCGACGAGGCTGGCCCTCGCCGCCGGCGAGGGCTATTTTTCGATAAAAAAAAATTTCGACCAAATTTTTTTTTTTCGATGGAAAAAAATTTCCACGATTTTTAATTCGACCAAAAAGAAATTTGTAGTTTCCAACGAAAAAAATTCGTCGGAAAAAAAATTCGTTTCCAACGAATTTAGCCACGAGTTTTCCAACGAAAAAATTTGTCGCAAATTTCCAAAGAAAATTGAAATTTTTCATTGGAAAAATTTGCGACGACTTATTACCAACGAATTTTTTTCGTTGGAAAATTAGTTGGAAATTCGTTTTCCAACGAATTTTTTCAAATTTTTCGTTGGAAATTTCATCGGAAAAAATATGTTTTTTTGTAGTGCTTGCCCATGGCCTGCGAGGTGGACCTCGCTGGCCTCAGCCTCTCGCCGGACCAGCGACCGGGAAAGAAGATAGGCGAAAAAAAAAAAGAGAAAAAAAAATTCGAAAAATAATAAAAAAATTATTAAAAATTGCCACGTGGACGCCGGCCGGCCAAAAGTGGCCGGATGGACTGAATTAACACAATTGTAAAAGGTTTAGGACTGAATTGGCCAAAAAAAGGGTTTAGGACTGAATTGGCACAATTACAAAAGGTTTAGGACTTTTTTGGTAATTTTCCCGTCAGATGGAGAGAGCTGATCAAAGGAGTTGCTCGATGCGTTTTGGCTTTTGAGACAGTTGCGGCACCACTTTCAACTAGATTTATCTAGATGATGGAGTTTCAACGCCTACCCATGAATGCTCTCCACTCTCAATAATTGCAACGGCGCCGAGAAATCGCCACGTCATTTCCCCAGCAGCCGAGAAGGCACCACGGAATTTGGTTTCGGATCTCGGAGACGAAAGTGGCCGGTCTAGTTCTATTTAAACAGAGAAAGAGGAGGGAGGGAGGGGGCACAATCGATCAGAGCAAAAAGAAGAAATCGATGGAGGACGGCGCTCTGGCCTTATGTGTTTTTCGTGCAGGTCCGGTCGCATGCCGCTCGACGCATTACGATGTGTTTCTGAGCTTTCCAGGAGGCTCCGACACCGCTCGTGACTCCCTCCCCGGTCGCCTCCATGCCGGCCTCGCCGCCGCCGGAGTCTCCTTGTGGGAACCCGACAAAAGCCAGGCGTCGCTGCTACCCGACGCGGCCGTCCGGCAGTCCAAGATCTGCATCCCGATCCTCTCGCAGGATTACCTGTCCAGCGACCGGTGCCTCCGCGGGCTCGTCCAGATGATGGAGGGCAAGAGAAGCGCGCGACAGATGGTGTTGCCCATTTTCGACCGAGTGGAGCCCTCTCGCGTGCGATACTTGACCAGAAGTTTTGAGATGGTCCGCCATTCTGACATCGAGGGAGTGCAGACAGCACTTTTCGAAGTGAGCATGTTACATGGATGGAAGGTCACCGACGGGTACCAACCCTCATCTCCATTAATTATGTTCTTCTTTTTTTCTTTTCTTTTACATCATACTTGGTAGAGGTTGGTCCTGAGCAGAACCTTAAAAGGATGAAGACAGGGAAGGATTCAAATTCTTCCAAATCCGGCCAATTATACTCATCATAATTGAATCCTATATTGCTCTCTTCATTTTTTCTTATAATCATATGAATTTTCGTTTCCCTTCTAATTACCTATGCCAAATAAAGTGTTGATTTATTCTTTTTTTTTTTCAAATAAACCAAAGTCTCCATCCATTCCTTCTCCGGTCTTCCTTTCATGTCATTTTATCCTAATCCTATACCATGATTGGGCCATTCTTTTTCACGGATCGTGGTGTTTGATAGGCGCGAAGAAGAACTAGTGAAGACGGTTGTCCAAACTGTACAGAGATGCTTACGCCCAGATTTACAGAAAGTTCCCCAGATTGCTAGGTACAACGTATTCTTGAACTTTAGAGGCGCCGATACTCGCCACGGCATTGCCTATGACCTCTACAATGGCCTCGTGAATGCCGGAGTTTCTGTTTTCAAAGACGACACCGACCTTCCCATTGGTGAGGAGTTTGGCTCACAGCTTCTCAGCGCGATCTCACGGTCCACAATTTACATTACGGTGCTCTCGCAAGGTTACGCTTCCAGCAAGTGGTGCCTTCGTGAGGTCACGAAAATGATGGAGTGCACAAAAACCAATGGACACTTGGTCATGCCCATTTTCTACGGTGTGGAATTCAGCGATGTGCGTTCCGGTCGCGCCTTCCATTTCCATGCGATTCATGAGTGTGAGAAAGACATTGCGGAAGCCAAGCGAGCGCTCCGACATCTTGGCTACTTTGGTGGATTCCATGACCGTGATGGAAGGTACAAACTCACGTCCACGCATGCCTCGTTTACCGTCTTTCATGAAATCTTCGCACGACAAGCAAAATAGAGTCGTCGTTGTACATCCTTAGATATCCGTATTTCTTGTGTTGTTTGACAGGATTGATGATGGAAAGTTGACCAGAGACGTTGTTCAACAGACGTTGCGAAAGTTGCGGCATCGGTTTCAACTAGATGTACCCGAGCATTTGCTTAGCATTGATGATCGTGTGAAGTCACGTTAGATCACGAGGTGTTGAAGATTCAACGCCTCCGCATGAATGCTCATGACAACATTCGTTAATTCTTAAAAAGACAAGGTTCAAATTCTGATGTCCTCCTCTCATTCACTGAGTCCTTTCGCGGTTCAGCTAGCGGCGAAGACTTCAAGTTGACATGCCTGATGGAGTCAAGTTTAGAGGATCTGACAATGTGGGGGTGCGCATCGAGTTGTTCTGTCGAGCCAAAAGTTAGAAAGTCGGTCTCTTTGAGAGCGTATTCGTATCGATTCGAACGTATGATCTCGTGATATCGATATTCTTCTATTTCGTTTTCCATGACCCCAGATCTTCGAACCAATCTGGCAATGCCTCATCAATATGCTTTCCTTCTTTGGAGTAGTTCGAATTTTGAAGCAAGTTATCTGCATCGATGCGGTTTCATGGAAATTGTGATCATTGTTTATCTCATCTTTTCACAGTTCAGGAAGACCGGAGGGTCCGGACTTATTGATCTGATTCCCGATTTGTTAAAGCATCGATAGCAATTTCGTTCTGAACTTGAGAAAAAAGTTTGACTCATCACTAATTTCCACTCTGAAATTCTGAAGAAGAGATGTTAGAAGCAGGTTTGGTTTCCGATTGTGATAGAGGCGAGGGCCATGCAACATGTATTTGCTAATCACATTGACTTGGTTAATGAATTTAAACAACAAGCAGCATTCAATCTGTACCGTAAATTAAGCAAATTCAATGACTGCTTCAACTCGAAACTCTTATCGAACAAAACAATCATGAGAGACCGATGCATATATTTAAAATGCACTCTGACCACACGCGACTATAAGTGGGATGAAATTCTAATTTACGATAATCGAGATTATTAGCGACGAATCTCTTTCTTTTCATACTTATATTCAAAAAAAAATGACCAAAAAATACTTAAATTCAAAATAATTGTTAAGTATTTCATTAGTTACTCATTTTTACTTTTACAGTAATTAAATTTATATTAAAGAACTAAATCAAAATCTTCACGTGTTATCTTATTTAACTATTTATCCCTCCACTTGATATCTTCCCACGCACTCTTTTTCTAGTTTTTCTTAACCAACTAATTAATTGGCTCGCAATAAAAACCTACTTAACTCATCTTTATATACATTTTAAGTGCGCTGTATCCTATTATAGTTAGATTTTACATTTAGCGTGGTGCATGTTTAATGGTGATTGCCAAATCATATTAATATTTAATAGCAAGTGTATTTTGAAAGTATTGTCGAGTGCACTCGATTCATGTAAGCCATATTCGTATAAATGGTCAAACCATTTGCATCTAAAAAGGCCCACTTAATCCCACGATTCTTGGAAATTAGACTCAAATTGATCGGGAGCAACTTATATATTTTCTTATTATGTAGCCCGCTTCTACAAATTTGCGAGGAACGACTTTAAACCTTTAACGCGTAGAAATGATGCACAATTTCGCCATAATCTCTATACAAACTGTCATATATTGTGAACATTAGAAAAAAAATTTATAACCAAATATTATCTATTCTTTATATGATCCAACAGTAAGTGCTATGCTCGGGAAAACATATTCTCTAGTGCCGCCCCAAAATAGTTTATAACGAGGGTGCCGTAAATTAAAGTAAATTAACTATTAATTAGCTTAAGAGTTAAGAAATATGAGGAATATAATGATTCCTCGATTTTGGGTGGCATCCATTAGCGTCGACACTTTCCACGTTTGGATTCCTCTAATCACCTATTTATTATTCTCAGGATAAATGACACAAATAATCCATGAATTTTGATCCAATTTGTAACGTGGTCCTTAAATTTTTAATTTGTTCAATATGGTCCCTGAACTAATTTAGCCAAATATGTAATATCGTTCCTGAACTTTTAATTTGTTAAATATGGTCATCAAACTTTTGATGCATGTTCAATTTGATCCCTAGACCATACGAAAATGTTCGATGTTATCATTCCATTAATTCAAATTTAGGGACAACATTGAACATTTTCATACAATCTAATGATCAAATTGAACATGTACGAATCCCGGGTGCCGCAGGGTGACTTAACCGGTGCACGTGTGTGGTGGCTAGCACGTGTCGCCCCCAGGGTTTACCTCCCGGCTGTCGGCCGTACGGGGGTTCCCTGGGTCACCAAAAAAAAAAAATTGAACATGTACCGAAAGTTTAGGGACTATATTAAACAAATTGAAAGTTGATGGATGAAACATTACACATTAAACTAAAATTCAGGGATCATGTTGAACAAATTTAAAGTTTGAGATCACATTACACGTTAGGCTAAAATTCGGAAAGTATTTGTGCGGTTCTCCCTTTGTCTTGTGAAAGCCGAAGCAACAAGAAATGAATATATTCTCTCTGTCTCTCTACTTTTCTTCTTTACCAATGAAATCCATTTCCAGCTTTTTAATCCTTGCTTTGTTGCTTCCACTAACCCCACCCCCACTCTCTCTCTCTCTCTCTCTAAAATCTCCCCGTCTCTCTCCCTTCCCTTCCCTTCCCGAAACCCTAACCTCTGCAACCATCCTCCTCCTCCTCTCCAATGGCGCCCGTGGACACCCACTCCTTCACCGACTCCGGCCACCCCGTCACCACCCACGTCCACCTCTCCCTCTACTTCGACTTCCCTTCCTCCACCATCCACTCCTCCGCCCTCCTCTCCCTCTCCTCCCCGCACTCCGGCCCCTTCTCCCTCGACACCCGCTCCCTCTCCCTCCTCTCCGTCCTCGACCCCCAGACCCGCAGCCCGCTCCCCTTCTCCCTCTCCGACCCCGACCCCATCAAAGGCCAGAACCTGGTCGTCTCCCTGTCCGGCCACTCCTCCGTCCTCGTCGTGTACTCCACCACCCCGGCCTCCTCCGCCCTGCAGTGGCTGAACCCGCCCCAGACGTTCAACAAGGCCTTCCCTTTCGTGTTCACCCAGTGCCAGTCCATCCACGCCCGCGCCGTCTTCCCCTGCCAGGACACCCCCGCGGCGCGGATCCGCTACTCCGCCCGGATCAACGTCCCGCGCCAGCTCTCCGCGGTGATGTCCGCCCGCCACGCGGACCGCCGGCCCCCCGTGGCCGGGGAGGGGGCGGGGCTGCCCTGCGGGGACGCGCTGTGGTGCGCGGAGGGGAGGGTGGTGGAGGAGTTCGTGATGGAGCAGCCGATCCCGCCGTACCTGTTCGCGTTGGCGGTCGGGGAATTGGGGTTCAGGGATGTCGGGCCCAGGACTAGGGTGTACTCGGAGGCGGCGCCCGCGGTGTTGGACGCGGCGGCGGCGGAGTTCGCTGGGACGGAGGACATGATAAGGCAAGGGGAGAGGTTTGATTATGAGTGGGATAGAGTCGCAACCAAGTTTCGACCTCGCTGGCATCGCTGCCTAGCCACGGGCAAAGCAAGCTCTAGTGTCGCCTATGGCCGAAGGGGCCAGGCCTAGGCTCGGCGACGTTGATCCTGCACGGTGAGCCCAGGCCGACCGCTGACACCGAGGATACGAGAAGTTCCAAGAGAAATCGCATGCCGAAAGCGAGAGAAAACAGAGCAGAAAATCGGAAACAATGCTCGAATATTTATTGCTTCGACCATTGGAGTTACCTTTCGAAGCAGAGGAGACACCGCGAGACCTAATTTGCAAAATATGTGGGCTTTGAAATATGGGTCACTTTAGTGATCCATCTTCGACCTGTTTTTGGGCTTTGAAAAAATGGGTTAAAGCGAAAAAAACGAGTTACCATACTGATCTGGGCTCACTAAATTTGAGTCGCAAACCCATTTTGCTGGTCCTAACTCCTCACGCACGCTCTCGTAAAGAAACCCTAGCCTCTCGGTCCTCCTCACGCATTAGGGATGAGCACGGTTCCACAGTAGAACCGGTAATCGAAGAACCGAACCTGTGGATGCGGTTCAGTTCCCGATTCTAGCGTGAGAGGTTCCGGTTCTCAGTTTCAATTTTTTAGGAACCACCGGCACTCTCTCTCTCCTGCTGAAAAGTAAAAACCCTAACTTTCTTAATTTCTTCACAAATTTCCTCTCAGTTGGTCGCTCCTCCATTGCTCTCTCTCTCCCACTCCCCACACCCACGACTCAACGATACCCTCTCGCCTCTCCTTGCTCTGTTCGGCGTCTGCCTCGGCTCTTCCTCTGTCTTCATCAACCGCGGTCTGGCTCATCCGCGGCGGAGGTGGGCTTCGCTTCACGGCTTCAAGCGACATCCTTTGTCTTCGTCTTCGTTCGGGCTCACGCGCCGCCGCACGCGCACCCTCTTGAGCTCGCTGTCTCGGCTCTTCCTCCTCTCGTGTCTCTGCAAGATCAGCGTCGCTTCTCGCCGGACGCGGTTCCTCTCCGGGCAAGGTTCGTGTCAGCCTCCGAGTTTGAAAAAAAAACTGGTAACGCGCTTGTTCTTTTTCTTTATTTGGGTTGCGTTTGGGGAGGGGATAGGGGGGAAGGACTGCATCCTGCTATCGGATTTGTCAACCTACAGGGCAGAATGTATGTTTTACCCTCATGAAGGGTGTCACGAGATGTTAAAAATGTCTGGCAGCTGGATTTATTGTAACTCTTTTCTTGAAGTATCTTTTTCTTTGGTCCCTAGTGCAACAATGACTTTTAGTGGCGTTTACTATTCATCCGATGTACTCACCTGCTGAACATGTGAATCTTCTGCATATAGAACTCCGCATTTCTTTACTCTAGTCCCCTTATGAAAAGGAAGGGGAAAAGAGAAGAAAATAAATAGTTGTGGTGAATTTCTTCCATTTTGCATGTCGTTTGCTCCATAAACGTTGTGCTCTTCATTCTAACCATAATGATTGCAATATTTTGTTTAAGTAGTTACTACTGTAATTTTGTCGTACTTTCTCTAGATGATTACGTGTTTGATCTGCAGACTGTGCGGGTGTGGCAAGGTTCTGAAGATGGGAGCTATAACTGTCGGCATGTATTGAAAGATCATACTGCTGAGGTACTCTTGGTGGCTTGTTTTTCTTAATCAAATACGTTGCTTTCAACTATGAAAAGGAAAAGCACATTCCATGTCACATGCCTATTTGTAGATGAAAAATGCTTCGTTTGGTGTAAACTTTATGTCTCTTGCTTGTATGAAATCCTTTTGCCTGTTTTCTTACTTCAATTGGTTTAGTCAACTATCTCGATGATTTTTCCTGTTATCTGAAGCATGGATGTCCTTCTCCTATTAGTATTGTTTAGTCATGTACTGAGTCAAAATAGCTATAGATACAGTGATGAGGCTTAAAAACACAGGGATTCTAGAGAAGTACCCGAATCTAGTCTTTCATTGGGAACCAAAGACATTCCTTAATCTAGCTTTCTTTAATTCTCCCTTATATGACCTGGTATTCTTGTCTTCAGGTGTTGGAGGCAGCAAAACGTCTTCATTTGAAGGAACATGCTGTATGTGATGGTTCTGGAAACATTTTCAAATTAGCTGCACCAGTGGAATGCAAGTGTATTGTGGGTAGTGATGACAGGTTATCCTCTTGGGACAGCTTATCTTACCTCTTTTTTGTTTGCTGGTTGATATGTGATCATTTTAAGTCTAACATCACCTTCTACTCATAATTTGTTCGAACAATGTGCTTTCATTGTTCATGCCATTTTAGATATTTTCATTATCTTGCTGCTTTCCTCCTCAATAATTGTTGCTTATTTTTTTCCTTTTGGCTTGCACTAGTTCTTAAGGCCCCTTTCACATTATTCTCAGGGTATGCCAAACAGCTTAACAGTATAGTGTGCACTGTCTGCTGGAGAGATAAAATTCTAATGGGGAGATTAATTAATTCTGTGATGATAGAAAAAAGAAAAGATTTCACTAACTGAGAAAGAGTTGAACAGTTGAGGTGCGCATTTTTTATGTTTGGGGATGATTCCACTACAAGTGTAAAGTTACATAGTGCTTGGCTATGGTGATGTAAAGACTGGATCTAAACTTATGTAGGGCATGCATCTTGTCATTTTTATGCCAATATTGGAACTTCAAATTTATGTTTGGCTGCAGCATCTTGCTAAAGTGTGGTTATTAAAATTCCCATTTGTCAAACATGTTTTTACATTGCATAAAATACTATAGTTGGGAGAACTGAGACAAGACAATTGAAAATTTCTTCTCATTTCATCTGCACTTTATTTATGGTATGTCTCATAAGGTCCTCTTTCCATTTTACTCTTTTGTTTTGATTTAGGCACTATCTTCTTGACTTGATGAGAGTAACTCCTCGTGTTGCAAACTATACTGGACCTGGATCTCGATTTTGTATTTTGAGACAGGAACTAGTCACAGCTTTTTGCCAGGTAGCTCATGCTATTACTGTAGTTAAGTGGTTCAGCCATCTTCATGATTTCTTACTTAAAGTTTTTTCGTTGAGAAGGCCCAGTGCAAGGAGATCGAAACGAGTTCAAGCTCGATCGTCCGTGACTCACCAACCGATTCTTTAAGAGTTGCCAGAGATAACGGGCTTGGGAATGCTGATGCTGGTGTTGGAGGATTTTCCGACAGCAAGGTAGTTACCCTATCTTTCCCCTTCAATTGGTATTGGGCAATTATAGTTTAGTTCTATCCAGGCATTTGTAAACTTGGCATTATATCCCCTGAATATCACATCAGGGCATTGTGTATGTATTATTTAGATGATCTACTATTGCGTTTATTTTCGTTTTGTTTAATTCAAAACGAAATTAAAAAAAAGAACCTGTTGGAACTTGGAACCGACCCTGGAACCTGTGACAGGGTAGGTTCCAGGTTCCTCATTTTGAGGAACCTGTATCCGAGGGTAGGTTCCAGGTTCCAGGCGGAACCTACCCAGAACCTGGAACCGCTCACCCCTATCACGCACGATCCTCTCAACTCTCTTCGCCTCATCTCGCTCTAGGTCGCCTTTCAGCTGAACTGAGAAGCTGCGGAATCCACCGGAATTAAACCAAATGGACGGTGCTCTGGTTTTATGTGTTTCTCATGCCGGTCCTGTTGGATGCGGCTCCACGCACTACGACAACGACGTATTTTTGAGCTCCGCTGGAGGCTCCAACGCCGCTCCCGAGTCATTCCCAAGTCGTCTCCGCGCCGGCCTCGCCGCCGCCGGATTCTCCGTATGCGGACCGGATGAAAGCCAGGTGGTTGGCTCATCATCGCGACTTCCACACCCGGCCCTTCAGCGGTCCCGGATATGCATCCCGATCTTCTCGAAGGACAGCGCATCCAGCGAACGGTTCCTCCGCGAGCTCGTCCAGATGATGGAAGGTAAGAGAAGCTCACAACAGATGGTCTGGCCTACTTTCAACCGAGTGAATCCCCGGCACGTGCGACACCTCGAAGAAAGTTTTGCAGAAGCCCGCCACTCTGACATCGAGGGGGTGCAGGAAGCACTGGCAGAAGTGGGTTGCTTCTCTGGATGGGCTGTCACTGACGAGTACGAACCTCATCTCCTCCCAAATCTTTCCTACTTTCTTTCCTTAGTGATGTTTGAGACGCATTGTTTGGTTGCCAATATAGTGACTTATTTTCACTCTTTTGTTTAACCGGCATTCAAACAACATTATAATTCACTCCCTCCATTCATTTCTCTTCTTTTTTCTTATAATCATTTGAATCTCTTCTTTTTCTTTCGATTTCTTTGCCAAATACAGTGTCAATTCATTCTTCTTGTTCAAACAAACAATGTGTCCATCCATTCTTTTCTGGGGTGGCTGTGGCACTTATTTCTCTCCCTTTCGTATCATTTCATCCTGATCCTATACCTTAATTTGTCATCCTTTTCACGGATTGTGGTGTTTACTGTTTGATAGGAACGAAGAAGAAATAGTGAAGACGGTGGTCCAATATGTTCCGGTCGGCTTACGGCCAGATTTTTATAGAGTTTTTGAGAGTCGACGTATTCTTGAACTTTAGAGGGCCCGATACTCGCTCCGGCATCGCCAATCGCCTCTACAGTGACCTCGTGGCCGCCAGACTTTCTGTTTTCAAAGACGACAGGAGCCTTCCCATTGGTGAGGATTTTCGCCCACAGCTTCTGAGCGCGATCACACGATCTACAATCTACATTACGATCTTCTCTGAAACTTACAATTCCAGCAAGTGGTGTCTTCTTGAGCTCGCGAAGATGAAGGAGTGCATAGACAACAAGGGACACCTTTTTTACCCCATTTTCTACGATGTGGACATCCTCGACGCGGTGAACCTAACAGGGAATTTCAGGGATGCCTTAAATTCACGTGCGGGCGCTGCTGAGGGAGGCCTGCCAGCGCTCAAAGAGGTTGCCGAATCGAGCAACAGATTGGGAATTGAACCTGATGAACAGAGGTACAAACTCACATCAGCATATGCCTCGCTTACTTTCTTTGGCGAGATCCTCGCACGACAACCAAAATAGAGTCCTCGTCGTACATCCTTCAATATCCTTATTTCTTGTGTTGTTTTGACAGGCTTCCTTCCCATGTCCGTTTTATTGTTCTAGAAGTCTTGGGTAAGTTGCGGGATCACTTTCAACTAGCTGTACCTAGAGATGTTGAAGATTCAATGCCTCCGGTCGAATGCGTAATATCTTAGCATTAATAGATGATGGAAGGATAGTGAATAAAGGATTCGTCAGAAGAGAAGGTCCAAATTCGGATGTTCTGAACAAAGGTGAGTCCATTAGCGGTTCAGCTGGTGGCAAAATCTTGAAGTTGCATTCCTGATGGAGTCGAGTTCAGCGGATCCATAAATGTGGGGTTGTGTTTTTTAGTTGTTTTAGTTGGGGGAGCTGGCCTTTTATAGAGTGTGCTGGTACTGATTCTAGTGTATGAAGACCTACAACAGCTAGCTGTTCATAAATTCTTGCGAAGTCAACTTAGTGTGTGATAAGTTTGGTATTGCGATATTGATGTTCTTGCATTTTTTGTTCCCTATACACCCGATCTTCTTGCAGAGATTAACTCTACATTGATCATTGCACCTTCTTCGGAAGCATTTGAGCAGTTTTTCTTCGTATCAATCTGGCAATGCCTCTAACATTATGCCTTCCTTCTTTGGATTTGTTCGACTTCTGAAGCAGCTCATCTGCATTGATGCGGTTTCCTAATTTGTTGAAGCATTTGATACGAATTTCCTTGCGAACTCGAGGAGAAAAGTTCGACCATTTATCACCAGAAATGCGGGACCGTACGCGTGGATTTCAGCTTCCGAGAATTTGCTATCTTCAACTTAGAAGAGGGATTTTAGGAGCAGGTTTGGTTTATAAATTAAGTATATGTAAAAATACAATATGATCGTACATAACTATAGACGGATAAAATTACACTTTACGATAATCAAGATAACTGGCAAGTAAATTTACAATCTCTATCTTTCTAAATTTAAAATCGAGAGTAATCGTGAAATATTCCTTAAATTAATCATCTTTACGTTTAAAAAAAGATAAAATCATATATAAAAAGTAAATCAAATTCTTCACGCGTTATCTTATTCGACAAATTATTTTTCCACTATTTATCTTTACACGCACTCTTTTTCTAGTTTTTCTTAACCAACTAATTAATTGGCTTGCAACAAAAACCTACTTAACTCATCTTTATATACAAATTAAGCGGGCTGCATCTTTATTACGGTTAGATTTCATATTTAGGGTGGTGCCATGTTTAATAGTGCTTGCCAAATCACGTCCACTCGATTCATGGAAGCCCAAATTCGCATAAATGGTCAAACCCTTTGCATCTAAAGGCCCACTTAATCCCACGATTCTTGGAAATTAGGCTCGAATCGATCGGGAGCAACTTATAAATCTTCTTATTCTGGAGTCCCGTTTCTACAAATTTTCGAGGAACGACTGTAAGCCTTTTAACACGTAGCGATGACGTACATTTTGGTCATAATCTCTACACAAACTGTCATGCATGCTGAAGATTAAAAAAAAAAAAAAAACTTTGTAACCTAATATCATCTATTCTTTTAATGATTCAACGATAAGTACTAAACTGGGCAAAGCATATTCTCTAGTGCCGCTCCCAGAGTAGTTTATGAACGAGGGTGTGGTTAAATTAAAGCAAATTAACTATTAAGTTAGCTTAAGATATACGGGGAATATAAATGATTCCTGGATTTTGGGTGGCATCCTTTAGCCCATTCCGATTCCTCTAATCACCTTTATATTATTTTTAGGATAAATGACACAAATGATCTCTGAACTTTGACTCAATATTATAACGTATTCCTTAAACTAAATTTGAACATTTTCAAATAATCCAATGACTAAATTGAACATGTACAAAAAATTCATGGATCGCATGAAACAAATTAAGAATTCATAAATGGAATTACATATTGGGTTAAATTTCAAGGACCATATCGAATAAATTTAAAGTTCAGGATCACATTATTCGTTAGGTCAAAATTTAACAACTATTTATGTCATCATCCCTTATTTTTACAATAGCCGAAGCAACAAGAAATGAATATATTCACTCTCTCTCTCTCTCTACTTTTCTTCTTTACCAATGAAATCCATTTCCAGCTTTTTAATCCTTGCTTTGTTGCTTCCACTAACCCCACCCCTCTCCCTCTCTCTCTCTCTCTCTCTCTCTCTAAAATCTCACCATTTTTGTCATCATCCCTTGTTCTTACAATAGCCGAAGCAACGAGAAATGAATATATTCTCTCTGTCTCTCTCTACTTTTCTTCTTTACCAACGAAATCCATTTCCAGCTTTTTAATACCTTGCTTTGTTGCTTCCACTAACCCCACCCCACTCTCTCTCTCTCTCTCTCTCTCTCTCTAAAATCTCCCCGTCCCTCTCCTCCTCCCTTCCCTCCCCGAAACCCTAACCTCTGCAACCATCCTCCTCCTCCTCTCCAATGGCGCCCGTGGACCCCCACTCCTTCACCGACTCCGGCCACCCCCTGACCACCCACGTCCACCTCTCCCTCTACTTCGACTTCCCTTCCTCCACCATCCACTCCTCCGCCCTCCTCTCCCTCTCCTCCCCGCACTCCGGCCCCTTCTCCCTCGACACCCGCTCCCTCTCCCTCCTCTCCGTCCTCGACCCCCAGACCCGCAACCCGCTCCCCTTCTCCCTCTCCGATCCCGACCCCATCAAAGGCCAGAACCTGGTCGTCTCCCTCTCCGGCCACTCCTCCGTCCTCGTCGTGTACTCCACCACCCCGGCCTCCTCCGCCCTCCAGTGGCTGAGCCCGCCCCAGACGTTCAACAAGACCTTCCCTTTCGTGTTCACCCAGTGCCAGTCCATCCACGCCCGCGCCGTCTTCCCCTGCCAGGACACCCCCGCCGCGCGGATCCGCTACTCCGCCCGGATCAACGTCCCGCGCCAGCTCTCCGCGGTGATGTCCGCCCGCCACGCGGACCGCCGGCCCCCCGTGGCCGGGGAGGGGGCGGGGCTGCCCTGCGGGGACGCGCTGTGGTGCGCGGAGGGGAGGGTGGTGGAGGAGTTCGTGATGGAGCAGCCGATCCCGCCGTACCTGTTCGCGTTCGCGGTCGGGGAATTGGGGTTCAGGGACGTCGGGCCCAGGACTAGGGTGTACTCGGAGGCAGCGCCCGCGGTGTTGGACGCGGCGGCGGCGGAGTTCGCGGGGACGGAGGACATGATAAGGCAAGGGGAGAGGTTGTTTGGAGACTATGAGTGGGAGAGGTTTGATTTGCTGGTACTGCCTCCGAGCTTTCCTTATGGAGGAATGGAGAACCCGAGAATGGTGTTCTTGACTCCGACGGTGATCAAGGGGGACGCCAGCGGTGCGCAGGTCGTTGCCCATGAGCTTGCTCATAGCTGGACGGGGAACTTGATCACTAACAAGACTAATGAGCACTTTTGGTTAAATGAGGTACATAAACTTCACCAAAACTGTTTTTCCGGCACTTAATGCAACGAATATACTTGTTTTAGATTGTTTAGGGTTGATTGACAAGTAAATGCCGTGTTCTGCTGTTTTGTGAATTGATTTCTCATTGTTTCAGTCGGTAAGGATTTCCTTTTGTAGTTGTGCGTGTCTTACACTCTTTAGGAAAGGAAATTTTCTGATGCATGGCTTTAAAGTTTTTGTTTTTATCTTGCGGTCTTGTGATTACTATACATGAAACACATGATACATATTCGGATCAGAAGACGGATTTTGATATTTATACTCTATAACAAGAAGTGTATTTAATCTTAGAACCGATTTGGAAGTATGAAACACAGCCCCTTGTGCATTGAACTTATAGAGTTAATGTCCTTGCCATGAGGTTTTGATAGCCCCATTCCGTGAACTTTGTGGAGATGGATGGGATTTTGGATTTTTGCCTCATGGTTTATTTGTTGCTTTCCAAATTTTTATACAGGGATTTACAACTTATGCGGAGAGGAGAATCGTGGAGGTGGTCCAAGGCGAAGAGAGGGCTGCGTTGAATATTGGAATTGGTTGGAGAGGCTTAAACGAGGAAATGGAGAGATTTAGCGACAATATGGAGTTCACTAAGCTCAAAACAAAGCAGGAAGGAGTGGACCCGGATGATGTGTATTCTCAAGTTCCTTACGAGAAAGGTTTCCAGTTTCTATGGCGAATTGAACGCGAGGTATCATGTCTATAGCATTAAAGTATGAGGTTGTTCATCTGCATAGTTTGTTTTGGGCGTGACATTCTGTCCAACAATTCTTAGGTTGGAAGACCTGCGTTCGATGAATTCCTGAAGAAGTATATTGCTACCTTCAAGTTTAAATCAATCGATACAGAGATGTTCCTAGAATTCCTGAAAACCAATATTCCCGGAATAGAGAATAAGGTTGACTTGGTTCTATGGACCGAGGGCACTGGCATTCCTCCAGATGCCTTTGAACCTATCTCAAATATATACACAAAGATTGTGACATTGGCTAATGAGTTTAAAGCCGGGAGGATGCCGGCGGAGGACGAAGTTGCTGACTGGCAAGGGCAGGAATGGGAGCTTTACCTGGAGAACCTTCCAAAATCTGTGGAAGCTTCGCAGGTAGTGTAGCCTTAATTACTTGTTCTCTTCTTTCTTCATAAAAAAAGATCTGATTTACATTACTACGTTGTAGAGGTTGGTTGACTGATGATGGAGGAATTGAGCATGTAGTTTATTTAACAGGTCTTAGTTATTTGTAGAGACATGATGGTGTATCTGGATAGGAAACACAGCTTATGATACTTGCGCTTGACTTTTGTTTCCCCCTGAAGTCTGAACTGTTTTTGCACTATGTTATGAAATCTGTATGTCTTGCACCAAGCCAGCTATTAGACTTGGCCAAAGACTTACATAAGCTTGTTTGGGGCTCAAGGATGGCTTTTTGTAGAGAATTCCTCAAGACTTCCTCATTTTTTTTACATTAGTTTTTATTCTTCTTTGATATGAGGATCGTTAGAGTAATTAAATATTAAGCCACATTTTCATCTAGGAGCTTAAACTATTAGAACAATTGGCAGTGGTCCTGCAAAATCTCACATGGTATCAGAGTTGGAGGTCCTGAGTTCGAATATTTTCAGGCCCCGTTTTCCTCCCCAACTAAATATTTCCACGCTTTTTACTAGACAAAAAAAACCAGACTAAGCGTGAGGAGGAGTATTAGAGTAATTAAATATTAAACAACGCTTTCATTTAACAGCTTAAACTTTAAGAATAGTTGGCAATGGTCCCACAAAATCTCACAAGGATGAAATCTTGGATGTACCACCAGCATGTGGTTGAGAAGTGAAGTGAGTAATGATGCTGACTGCCGAGATGTCTACTGCATAAATTCAAACTCTCTCACATTACTTGATTCTCATTACCTTTCATGTCCTAATTTCAACAATGAGCTGAGAAAGACGTTTGGATAGCTTTTTTGTTCTTTTTGGGACGAGAATATAGACAAGGGCTTGGCTTAGTGGTGCCTTACCATTACCAAGAAACTAAGGAATCTTGGGTTCGGTTCCTTACTTCCCCTCCCTTATTATTTACTGTACCTATCAAAATAGGAATTTTTATCACTTTCCTCGGTTGGTGGAATTTCTCAGCTTAGTTTCCTAAATTTCTGTTCTCCCGCTGGTCGAGAGTGTAATCTTGTGTTTTTTTTCGAAGAAATGCCTAGAGGTGAAATGATACGCGGTGAGTTAACCTAAAAGGTTTAGGCCTTGAGGTGAAATGATCTCGTATTCAGTTTGCTTAAACTATCAGGAGTGATGAATGTTATGGTATGATTGTGCAGATTTTAGCCTTGGATGCTCGATATAGGCTATCAGAATCAAAGGATTACGAAGTGAAGGTGGCATTTCTCCAATTGGCAATTTCCTCTGGGTGCAGTCAGTATCATGGCGAGGTGGAGAGAACTTTAAAAGAAGTGGGAAGAATGAAGTACCTCCGTCCGCTCTACACTGCTCTTGTACAGGGGAACGGAAGGCAAGAAGAGAAGATTTTCGCGAAAAGGGTTTTCGCAGAGGCTCGCGACTGTTACCACCCGATAGCTCAGGGTGTGGTCGAGTCGATCTTCTCCAAGCACATGTAAAACCGATATATATCAACTGTAAATGCCAGATCCTGGATCTGGAATGCTCATGACTCTAACATAAAGTAGTCTTTTGCTGTAGATCTCTACAGCCTGGGGAACAAGGCTACCGATTTTTTTGTTGAGAATGCTAAGATACATCTTGAATGATCCGGATCACCGGATCATCGGGACAAAGAATTAACGAAATGTCTGTAATTATTGATACCTTTCTTAATTGTGTGCTTTTCGGGTTTTAGCATGGACTAATTGGGTGCTTTGAGAGCATGGGTATCTAAATAACAAAGGGAAAACAGGCAAGCTGCATTTACTCATTCGGTATTGCCAACCTTAAGAGAGACTGGCGACGCATATTATCCAAAGCTGTTGTGTTCGACTGTGAAAGAGGTGGTCTGCAACTTTATCTTGAAGTACAAAGTTTAACTGCATCTCATCAATGTTCCACCATGGACATTATTGGTCTTGTTTTGTTGTCTTAAGTACAAAACTTAACCTAGAATGAATTTCTTTTTCATTCAGATAATGACCACATTTTGCCGGACTTCTCTTCTCGACGTTTTTATTTTCTTTAACATATAGATAATATTTTAAATTTTGATGGGAAAAATAAAAAGTTTTTAGCCTGTATTTTAATTCTAAACAAGCGGGCCCTCGTAAACAATTTTTCTTGGCACACTACTACATTGCTACACTGGTGCTTTGCGAGAAAAGTCCAGAATAAGAAGGGAATGCTGCCCATTCTTCCTGCTTTAAAGGAACATCGGATCAACATGTCTGTCTTAAAGATTTGAGGTACTCAATGAACTCGTCGATCATGAGTTACAAGTAATGTCTCGGCCACATTAGCTACAGTTGATCCCGATGTGGTTCCCATTGCTGGGCATGTGATTCCATTCCATCAATAGCTTCTTGATCCTCCTCATGAATCAGACTCTGCAACTCTATCACATTGAAGAAGCCTTCCTTTTCGCATACTTTTCCATCTGATTTGTCCCTTAAGCTACTCGCCTTATTTCTGCCAGCGACCAGATGAAAAACGACTATGCAAGACCTTATAAAAGAAATAGATCTCTACCCCCGTCCGATCACCGAAAGTTTCACTCCGATGTGCATCAAGACTACCAGACATATAGTAAATCTTTTCCCCTTTCAAAAACAAAAAAGATGCTGCAATTCAATCCATGACCCAAAATTTAAAACTCATAATCTGCACCTTATTCAATTTTTATACACCAGAAGTAACCATGCTATATCATCAAAATCACAAAGGTCCTCTGCTCCAGTTGATTCAGCTCACCAGTGCCCAAATTCTGGTACAATGGCGGCGAAAATCCTCAGCCACTTGACAATTTAACCGCAAGCATCTTGCAATGCACAAAATGACTCCACCAGCTTATCACCGACACTTTCACTCCTATGACATACTTCTCCATACCAGAACCGGCAACATCATCACTCCGAAATCTTCTATAGGAACAAAATTCCGTGCTACACATCATCCCCGTACACCACAAGATCAAAGACAAGCAAGTGCAATCACAGGTCTAGCTAGAGCTCATTCAAACGATACAAGATCTTTGTTTGAGCTAGAACCATTTGCCATTAACTACTTATCAAGGTGAGTATCGAATTAACTGAGAAATCGCATCTAACTGATAATCCAATAGAACGTACCTCATGCTCAGCGCAAATTTTGTAATGAACTCGCAATACACAAACTTAAAAAGAATGTATAGCAGCACAAAACAGAGTAAATCCAACATGGATACATGAAAGTGGCTAGCGTTGGTTAACTGATCTCTACACCATTCTACAAAAATTCAACTTCCATCTACCGAATTCAGCAGCACTTGAACAAAACACTGAGTAACCTTAGCTTTTCTTCAAACAATGCAAATCTTCTTTCACCCACTTTCTTGATTGTTTTTCATTTTTTGGCCTTGATAACACCAATGCAAGTAAACAATCATATCTAAATTTACACTTACATCGACATGAAGATCAACGCTTCCAAAGCCTTACTGCCCGCCACTTTCTTCCTCCAATTTCTTCACGAAAGCCTGCAAGACCAGGACGACCTCCCTGGCCGGCGCCTGCAAGGTCCCCACCAATCCAATCCCAGGACTCTGCAGAGCACCCAGCAGCTTGGCGTACACCTCGGCTCTCGTGGGCATACTCTCGAGCACCTTGAACTCATCGGGCCCGTAGAACTGCCCCTCGAAGACCCCGCCGCTGAAGTCGTTGTTCTCCAGCTTCTTCTCCTTCACGAAGTCCCTGTACGGCTTGATCGCCCCGGGGATCTCCTCGGTGTGGACGAAGAGCCACGCGTTCATGCCCTTCATGCACGGCTTGAGGGCCTCCCACGGGGTCCCCTCGATGGCCTTGAAGACGAGGGTGTTCTTGGCGACGAGGAGCTTGGTGGTCTCCGGGAGGGCCCGCCGGAGCTCCTGGAATTGCTTGACGGTGAGGCCCTTGTACTTGATGCCGGCGACGAGGTGGCAGTTCTCGAGCTGCTGCTTCACGGTGTCCACGGTCTCTTCTTTCCGGGAGCGGGAGATGGCGGCCCGGATGGAGGGGAGGTGGTGGGGGCGGCGGGCGGCGGGTCGGGGGCTGAGGGTCGGGCGGTGAAACGGGTTCGCGGGTCGGGTCAGGAGGGCGGGGTTGGGTGGCGGTTTGGAGGAGGAGGAAGAAGAGAGGAGCGCGGCCTCCATTGCAGGCGCCTTGGAAGAAGATGAAGATCAGAAGAGCGAAGAGACAGAGAGAGAGAGTTGGTTTTGGTGGGGCTTATCTTATCGGCAGAAGCCAGTTGCCTGAGCGTTGTGGCTTCGTTTGGGAAATTGGGGAAAATGGAAGAATATTGAAAATTTGGGGGAGAATTTTGTAAATTTTGAAAGTTTTTATGAATATGAAGAGGAGAGAAAATTTGAATGTTTTAAACATTAATGATGTAGAAAGTACTTGTAAAACATGTAGGCCAGCATGAATGAGAATTTTGTCATCGAGTTTATGTCTTGAAAAGAGATTCACTAGTCGAAAAGATGAGTCACATTGGGTTTGAGTTTGAGTCAAGTAAAAAATAGTTCGATCCAAATTGATCATAACGACTCAAACCCGACTACAACCCATACTCGCTACTCGCCCTAAATCGCTAAAACATTTTTATATTTAACTTAATCTAATAAAACTTTGTCGCAAGGGGTAGTGTCCTTAAGCCACCAAAGAACTTTTATAGCTTGAGTCCATATTTTATTAGTAATTTGGAGTTGGACCCATGAATAACTACCGAGTGGCCTAGGACTTTCTTAGCCCCTAGGGTTTTCTTGTACCGCCTATATATAATCTCTTTTTCTTGTAATAAAGAGGTGGGTTGTGTTAATTATAGTGAAATCCTCTATTGGATACAAGACTAGTTCAGCAAATCTTGTATCTCGATTTCTCTTTCTCGCATTCACTCTCTATTCCGTTGTGTTTGTGCGCCTAATTCTAACAAACTCGTACCCAAACTGAGGTGAGACCGCGGAGTGAACAAATGCAAGAACGAATGAGGGCGAAAAATAATGAAAAAAAAAATCATAGAAGTGGGTTAAGTCTAAGTAAGTTATGAATCCATGTCATACCCATATTATTTTGATATTTATAATTTTAAACCCATTTACTAAATAACCAACTCACGTAGTAACTCAGTTTATCAAATATGGATTAATAATTGGATTTCTGACCCATTTTTGACAGATTTAATGATGTCTAACGAGTTTAAGCTCATTGCCGATCTTTTAATTCTTGTCAAATTTACAATTGGGTGCGAAAATGCAATCCATATACGCATCATGTTTACATATGTAAATCGCTCCGGCCATTGACAACACGAACATGAGTGAAGCTTAATCCGAATAAGTTGCGTGACTATAAACAAGTCACAATGCAACATGGGAGAATTGATTAGAGAAACAATTTTTTTAAAAGAAGAAGAAGAAGAAGAAGAAGAAGAAGAAGCAAGAGATAATGAAAAACCGAGCAAAAAAAACTTGGAGAATTCAACTCTGTCGGACCGCACTTTCGGCTCGTGTAGTCGGAAACTCTATCGTTGTCCCCTAGATTTCGGAATAAACCTCGATCAAGCAAGAGGGATAACGTCGGTGACTGACTAGGCGGGATTCGCGGCTCAGAAGTGACCGTCATCCTAACGACGGACACACCGACCGTTACGTTAGCAGGGCTCTCGATTTTTCACGTGGACGTCCGGCGTTGCATTTCCGACCACGAGCACGAGCAGGAGCAGGATCTCTCCGCTCGGCAACAGACCGAGTGCGGAGCGGGAGCGAGCGAGGGAAGAGATGAGGTTCCGCTCGGTGTTCAGGGCTTCTCAGCTTCGAGGCGGAGCGCCGTTCGTGTCCTGCGAACCTGCAGCCTCCTCCTCTCGCCTCCACTCGCGGCCGAAGAGGTTCTTGAACGGTGGTGCTCCCTCTTCGTTCCGTAGTCGTCCCGGGATCATTCATGGGGAGCTTTTTGCGGTCGTGCTTTGCAGGTCTTCTTTCGGAATCGCGTTCGACGTTGACGGAGTCGTTCTCCGGGGACGTGCTCCGGTCGGAGGCTCTTCCCGGGCTCTCCGACGATTGTACGGTGATTACGGTAAAGATTCGCGGTTTTCCCCGATTGTTGTCCTACGTGTTTTTATCCCTTCTTTTTTTTGGGGGGGTTTCGAGGTTTTTCGTTTTTTGATGTAATTTGTCGTTACCGTTGTTGTTCTGCAGGCGTTTTGAAGGTTCCCTTTGTGTTCTTGACCAACGGTGAGCCACTACTGGTTGCTTCTTGATGAATAAAGTCTTTAGCTTGAGGGGGGCTCTTTCTGATCGTTTATGCTTCGGTTGAACCGGAGGCCGCAATCGACGAGTTGTTTGTCTATTTGTTATGCCTTTCTATTAGTTTGACATGGCATCTTTGCGTCGATCCGTTAACATTTGCGAGTCGTGAAAACTCGTGGTTCGATGATTGCCTTCGGTAGAATTTAATTGTGACTCTCTGGGCATCGGCATTATCCGAGAGGTTTTATCGGGAAGAGTAGAGTAAACCCGTAAACATTGCAATGTGCTTATGAATCATGTGATTCCTAATGGCAAACTGTTTCATGTTGTCTGATAGGAGGCGGTATCCCGGAGTCTGCGCGTGCACTTGAACTGAGCCAGCATCTGGGAGTGAACATTTTACCTGCTCAGGTATTGTCAGTGGGGGGACTTGTAGAATGGACTCTGTTTTTTACATTTATATGTTGACCATCGTATGACTGATGGAGCCCTTGCCACAGTTTGCTTTCTTTATGCTATCCTTCTGCAGGTGCTGCAGGGTCATTCTCCTTTCAGAAATCTGTTGAATAGGTACAGAATTGGTTTCATGAAAGCAATCTACAGTTCTAATTCAAATTAGTGCCTTGGAAGTCTTACACTGTACGTAATTGATGGTTTTATATTTGCATGCCCATATCTGCGACTGCATTTCTGCTATCCTTTTAATGAAGTAACTTGATAAACTGTGCTTGCAAAACTCATCAGGAACTTTGTATCAACTTGATGTGAAAGAGCTGACCTTTATTGCTTATATATGGTATATAGCATTTCTCCTGTTTAATTCCTCGATGATGAAAATAATTTGCATCAAGATAGTTCACCTACCAAAGTCTGAAAATTTTTGCAAAGTACAACTCTTAACTTTTGAATATGAGACTATGAAATGACAATTAAGTCTTATGTCACTAAGTTGGGTCTTTGTTCATGAAGATAATTCGTGCAGTAAGTCAATCTACCTTCATGTATGATAAATTGGTGATATTTTCCAGATATGAAAATGAACTCATCGTGGCCACTGGGAAGGGAAACCCTGCTCTAGTGATGTCTGAGTATGGTTTCAAGTAAGTACTAGTCTAATATCTTTGATGTATCCATCTTTACTGGTTTCTCTAAAACTAGAGATCTGACAGCAACTTGGCGATTTTTTCTTGCAGAAAAGTGTTATCGATGGACGAATATGCTTCCTGTTTCGATAACATTGATCCTGTATCTCAATACAAAGCCTGGACAAGTGATGATGTCCTTGGCCCAAATGGCTGCCTCAAGGATTTGGGACCAGAGTGTGATGTTTTCTCTGAGAGAGTGCAGGCTGCCTTTGTTGTCAGTGATCCTGTAGATTGGGGTAGAGACATACAGGTATGCCACCGTATTATTTTCTTTCAATCAATCAGTTCTGTTAATTAATGCATCCATTTACATTATGATATACCTCCTCCAAGTTTAAGTATCCCCAGGATGTGTCAGTTTCCTTGTCCAATAATGGAATCCAGTATCGTTATAGTACTCTTAGATAGAATCTGCCTCTGGATTTCCTATATTCATTTAGTTCTGTCAGGTACAATGAAAAATCTTGCAATACATGTGCAGTCTAAGGCCTGGACTCTGCTGTAATAGCTCTGCAATAACAGAATAACTGCAACAGGTTCTTTGTGACATTCTAAGGTCTGGGGGGCTTCCAGGACAATCGGGTGGACATCAACCACCTTTATATTTTGCAGCTGATGATCTTGAATATCAGGTTGTTTCATTGGTTGAGAACATGTGAAGTTCTATTGGATGCATCATCTTCACCTCTCTAGTTTAAAGTTTACAATTCTCAAATTAGCCAAGGGCACTCAGTGCAGGCTGCTTTTCCGCTGGAGCGACTTGGGATGGGTGCCTTTAGAATTGCTTTAGAGAGTGTCTTCAACAGGTAGAGTGTCTTTTTCTTTAAGGAATTGGCATTGCGACTTCAGTATGTCATTGCAACTAATAGATGTGTAAAAGTTGATTCTAAATCGTTATGATTGGATTTCAAAATGCAGGGTTCAATTTCTACTTACACTTCGTCAACTCATAGATTGCCTTTAGTGTCTGTTTGGGTGGCTTTCCCACCCTTCCTTCTCCCTCTAACTTATGGCTTCTCCTTCCAAACCGAGTGTTTGAGATGATAGTGGGCAAAAGTCCGGCTAATGACTTTTAATGCAGCAAAGAATTCAATAAAATGAAAAATGAACTTGAATCACTTTGGATGAAAATAATTATTTCTTAAGAAATTGGATATGTTCAGTATCTAAAGTACGGATAATAAGTCATAATCGATGATGAGTTAAAGCTTCAATGTCAAGTTTCAAACACTTCAATGGAAGGTCTTGTGAAAGCCAATAGCTCAAAGACATGATAAACCCGTAAACCCCTTGCCAAATCCCTCAATCACCTAACGCTCCCTTAACTGTTCTAACTCACTCGCCTTTCTTTGATATATGCAGAATTCATCATCATCCTTTGGAGTATGTTTCTTTCGGCAAACCTAATCCGTTTGTGTTTGACAATGCTGAAATGACATTGAGACAACTCTCACTTTCACACTGTGATGTCTGTGGCACGGATGATGGACATCCCCCGTCTCATTCCTTCAGTACCCTTTACATGGTCGGCGACAATCCTTCTGTAGACATCAAGGGTGCTCGACAGGTTGGTTAAGATGCGGTTCTTGAACCTATTTCTCCATGCTAGTTGCACACATTGTCCACCCCTGGCTTCTTAATACCTTTTCTATTTTCGGCTTAATACCTAAAGCAAGAGAACTCATGCTTGATTTTCAGGCGGGACATCCTTGGTTCTCTATCTTGACCAGAACAGGTCTATTCAAGGGAGAAGATAACGACACGAGTTTTCCTGCAGATCTGGTAAGTTGACAAAGGTCCAAAAGGATATATCTAAACTTTGATGGAAGATTGTTCCAAATGGGGGTTCAGCTTTTAAGCATTGCGCCTTCACATTGTTTGACAGGTCGTTGATACGGTCGAAGAGGCGGTGGACTACATCTTGAGCAGCGAGTGCAGCTGACAGTTGTAGAGCCTGCTGCTAGTCTCTAAACCGATGTGCCTTGTTTTTTTTTCCGCAAAGAATCCGGAATCATTCAATCTGGGGCGAATTCGCCGTATTTATTTGGCTTTGATCTATTCTTTGTTTCATCACGAGACTCGTGAAAGCGTTCAGATTCCTTAATTTAGCGAAAGGGACTCAAGTAATTATATGTGGGGAGATGGGGGAGATGAAATTCTTGCTATCCCACCAAATGCAGCTTGTATACAGATTCCCGATTCTCGCCTATAAAGATAGAAGCGATGATCTTCGTGACAGAGTCGTCCTTTTACCCTCCCCTCTTGCCGAAAGCAAGACCATTGACCAAGAAATTACTGTCCGTGGCTACAAGTCTTTTGAAGTTCATATCTTTCGCCATGAAACAGAATAGTTCGAGACTAACAGTCAATCTACTGCCACGCGTATAGATTTCGTGCAAACAAATATGTGTCTTGGGGATTGTCAACTTAAATTTCTCCTTGGGTAATCGACACTTGAAATTCTGAAACTGAGCAATCGACACTGTACTGGTGTCCTCCGTCTGAGTTTCGTACGTTTTTGGGCTCTCACATTTATAACGTATGGTCGACGTGGAGGTCGGTCGAAATTCAATCCTACGAATTATGATGTAAGCAACCTGACGTAAGGCCCTGAGATTTTCAAAGAGATTGCGGACCCATCATCGTTGAATGCAATGACACTTTCTATATGTTCCAAACAGAAAGTGATCAACGGTAACGGTGCACATGAAAAGAACAATCGCTATCGCCTGTGGACGGTGTGAAAATCTCTAAAGTCCAATTGAATCCTTAAAAAAGAAGAATCTGGTGGCTTGAATGAACTTATATTAAGAGCAACTCGAGCGTTATCAACCCAATCTAAAAGAAAGCGTGTTCGAGTTTTCAATGACTTTGGGAATGAACTTTACGACACGTCATTGTGATTGTCATGTGCAGTCGCTAGAAAAGAGAACAGCGACATGAAAACAATAAAAGAGAAAAGGCGAGAAAAGGCTAATTCAAATTGGTCATGACACACAAGCGGAACGCCCGCACTGTTCGAATAGATAGCCCAGCCCTAAAGGAGGAAACGAGACACGGAATAAACTCAAAGCAAAACCCCGTCCTGCTATCATTTTAGAAAGTTCAACTCAAAATTTTAAGTCAATAGATGAAGAGAGGCCGCGTGTATATAAAAAGTAATTAAACCCCATATGCAATCAATATTCTCTGAACTATGGTCCAATATGTAATGTTGTCCATGAACATATAGTTTGTTCAATGTGGTATCTGAATTTCCAAACATTTTTCCATATAATCTAGGGATTACATTAAATATTTATCAATATTTTATGAACCATATTGAATAAATTAAAAGTTTAGGGATAAAATTACACATTTGGCCAAAGTTCAGTGACTACGTTGCTCAAATTAAAAAATTCAAGAACAATATTTCACGCCGAATTAAAGTTTCAGGAATCATTTGTGTTACCCTCTCCGCTAGGGCCATGCATGAATAGAAATTGCTCGTAATTCCGATAGCTTGCAAGAACCTTACCAGTCAACATCAGAGCCAGGTCGTTCTATAGAGTCTAATGCCGTGGCCGTAGGTATTCTCAACTGCTAGCCCCGTGTAGTTATAAAATACGAGATTAGGAGGACGATGTGAAGCGCACGCAACTCCTAAAAGAAGTTTTTAGCAAAAAGACAAAACTCCTAAAAGAATATTTTAGCAAAAAGACAAAACTCCTAAAAGAATCTCATATTTTTTTAAAAAAATATTTAATTCTTTATTTACACTTTCCTTTTGTTTTTTTAGTTCTAGAAACTAGAATATGGTCAGTGTGTACGATGTTGTTGCTGCCGTCAAAGATGATGCTTCTTGTTCTTGACTGCACTGAAATAATTCGGATTCCCTCTCATTTTATAATGTTTCCTAATTCTCGCAAAAAATAAATGATTCGAAAGTATTTTTTTATTTATTTAACGAAAATACATAATTAAAAATATATTTTCTTGGACAAAGTACATCACCCTATAGTAGAGGATCTTGTTTTCGAGAAATTCTTAGAAATAGAATACCATAAAATATATGGATTTTCATTCATTTTTTGTTTAATAAAAAATCTTGAACTTTTCAATTGGACTAAAAATAGAGTTCTTCATTAGATTCACACGTGGAAGATGATAATTTGGTGCTAACACTGTTGATTTAATGTTAAATAAGTCCATCGGACTCCGTCATGGGCTGCCTTCAAACGCCCCAAACTCAATAACCGCCGCCACCGGGCTCGGCCACTGCCACGACCGCCGCAGCCAACCGCCACCACTTCTGTTAAACACCCCAGAATCAAAAACCACCACCACCAGGCTCGTCCGCTGCCACAACCGCCGCCGCCGCCAACACTACCAAACCACAGCTAACCGCCATGGACTCGCCCTCACCACCGCCAAGGCCGCTCAGTCTCACCGCCGTGAAACCAGCTCAAGCACGACCGGACTCTCTCTACCCCAAGTGAAATCCAAGATAGCCGCGACCAACAAGATTTGAGTTCGCGACCTCCAATGGAGGTCGTGATCACAAGTCGAGGCACGCGACCTCTAGAGCGGCCTCTGATCTGAGGCACGACCTCCATATCTAAGGTCGACCCAAGAGAGAGAGAGGCGACGGCAAACATTGAAATTGCTTCTATTTATAGCTCTGTAAGATTGTAGAAGCGACCATGAAATGAAGCTACAAGCTTTCACAAGGTTCAAGCCATGCTCTGCTTACGAATCCCGTATCAAGGAAGAGCTCGAGATGAACATGAAAAATGTTCTTATTCCACTGCACAGATGAAAACTAACACGAAAAGGAAAATCATGCACCAACTGTTAATCTTCCTGGAAAAATGATGCGAGCAACGTGGGGAGGCTACGTGTCTTCGAGCGGCGTTACGGAGGCGAACTGGCAATTGCAACAACATGCTTTCCTCTGTTTTTGTACACCCATTTCCGCGAGCTTGATTAGTTGAGCCGCCAGTAATTTGAAGATCTTGACTTTAATCTGACCTCTCTTTGGTGGTAGTCTTGATCTTGGCTTGTGGGCCGTCTTCTTCGTCTCGTCCCCGTTCCCCATTTGTCTGATCCTTTACAGAGGCAAGCTCTGGCTCTGCTGGAGAAGAAACAGAGTAACAATGGGCTCTGTTTCACGCACACAGAGAGAGTCAATGGAAGAAGATTGAAGAAAGGGAACGAAGTGAAGCGACGAGCTTGAATGAGGGCTTAGTCAATGGTGGTCAGAGCGGTTCGCAAAGTGTCAACAGGCGCCCTTAGGTTTCAAACTGAGTGGTTCCAGGGTCGATGAACCTATCCTATCATAGGACCGGTCTTCCGGTTCTTTGAACTTGAAACTTATTACGTATTTTTCATTGTTCGAGTGAATTAAGATGTGCTTAAGTTACTTGTTAGTGTTACTATCAGTTCTCTATTTTAAAATGGACGTGTCACAAAACTCCTTGCAGCATGTGTAATTCTCGTCCTTTCAGAGCTTGTAAATTGGTTGGTGCTCTGTCTAATGATCCTCTTCAAAGATTTTGCTCTTTCTGGTGTTGTCTCGGTATTGTTCATAGGCATTGTCACGAAGCATTACACATATTCAAACTTTTCGAAACATTTTTCGCGATTTGTGTAGGTATTTTTTTAAGGAAAAAAGCCACCAAAAACCTTAAACTATGACCGTTGTGATACATTTACTTTAAACTTTTTTTCATGGCTCCAAAAATCCTAAACTTGTACTTGTATAACACATTCACCATCCGTCAAAGTTCTATCAATAAGAACTATTAAAAATATGCCTACATAAATGCCATAGAGCAAATAATGTTGACATGGTGCCCACTTAATTAAAATAAAATAAAAATAACGTTGTTTTAGCTGAAAAATAGATGCACATTATGTATGAGAGAGTGAGGGGGAGGGGGGGTGGGCAGGTTGGACTTAAGTATGTTGAGAAAGAAAAGGAGAAGAACAAACTTAACAGTATTAAGAGAACATGGATTTTTATTAGATGCACAGTGCCGGTTCCACCAGCATCGGTTCTCAGTCCGGTTCCAGCGTAGAACCAAGAACCGAACCGATTCCAAAAGATTGGAACTGTGAATCGGACCAATTCCCACTGGAACTTGAAATTGGATCGGTTCCCATGCCTAGTTTGGAAGCAGGGAGTGCAGTTGATAATTATAGATACAGTGTGGTCTTTTAACCGATTTGCCTTGTATGTTCACAAAGAATCCGGACTCATTCAATCTGGGGCGAATTCGCCGTGGATATACAGAATGGATTGTCTCACTACTTAGTTGGCTATGACCTATTCCTTATTTCATCACGAGACTCGTGAAAGTTTTCAGATTCCTTACTTCAGCAAAAGGGCTCAAGCAATAATACGTGGGGAGACGGGGGAGATGGAAATTCTTACTATCCTACCAAGTGCTTCTCGTTTACAGATTCTCGATTCTCGCCTATAAAGATAGAAGTGATCTTCGTGACAGATTCATCGTTTTTCCCCCCTCTTGCCAAAAGGAGGATCATCTACCACGAAATTACTGTCCATGCCTGCAAGTCTTTCGAAGTTCATATCTTTTGCCATGAAACAGAATAGTTCGTGACCAATAGTCAACCTATTGCCACGGCTATATATTTCGTGGTAACAAGTCTAATTTTCCACCGGGAGGATCATTTTTGTGGCCGGAGGTTAAACCTGTTGCGACGAAAGATCATTTCGCGGCAAGGGGCAATTTACTAATTTTTTTTTTCCTTACGAGCAAGATGAATCTTATATCCTCATTTTCATTTCGTCTATGGTCACTCCGTAAGTTTAATTAGTTTTAGTATGGGAGTCCAAATCTTGACCCTTATTGGCCGATACATCATCAAGTAATTGGACATATACGGGTTATGTCGAAAGACAGAGTGCCTTGGACCTTATTGTGGAGTTGTGGATTCCCACATTTTCAACGTACGGTCGACGTCCTCCTTTCTTTATTTTGAGAGTTTGTGTGTGTCAATAAATTTCTACGACGAGTGAACATGGAGACCATTTTGGCCATTCGTCCGACCGAGAGCCACCAAGGAGGATGTTCGTAACGTGACTCCACAATATTTCCGAGATTAGGCCGATGCCCTCTCCCGATTTAGATTTAGGTCAAGTTTTCGATGCTTTACTCATCC